AACACAACAAAAGCATTAAGGAAATCACATCAAGACATACCAGTTTACTGAAAACTAGAGATAAAGACACAATCATAGAAGAACAGGAGAGAAGACCTGCTGTCTACAGTGAAGGAAAACAAAGGACAGATCATTTTTCTTCAGAAGTGTGTGGTCTAGATGGAAGTCTGGTGATGCAGTACTACAGAGAAAGAAACAATTCTTTAGTTCATTGTACTGACCAGTCCAAAGAGGAAATGGCACAACCATCTCAGGAGGTGCAAAAAAAAAAAATGCTAGACAAAATCCTCTCCCTGTTTACAAGAGAAACTATGAGCATCCTGCAGACAGAAAGGAATGTTTATTACTGATAGAAAGCATCAAAAAGAAAAAAGAAAAGAAAAAAAACACTGCCCTGCTTACTACGAAAGACTCAAGTTATGTCCCCTTCTTTAGGGACAAGAGATGTGTAACCATTTTCAGTTTATATTGTTGTACTTAGAATTATACTTATCTTCTAAATGTCCAAGATAATAATAAAACAAGAAAAAAGTGACAGAGCATTTAAAATTAAAACTACTTTACACAAATATGACTACAACTGACTACCCATATAGAAAATTGTAGCAAATAGAATAAATAAGTAGACTTAGTATATTCTAGGATACAAAATTAATATGAAAAAAATCTATTTTTTGCATGTCAGCAGTGATTATGAAAATTGAGAAAAAACTGCCATTTACAATAGCTTTAAAATATGGAGTACTTGGAGATTGATTTAACAAAGTATGTGCATGAAAATCACAAGACCTTGAGAAGACAATACTGCACGCCCCCCTTGTTCTAACTCTTAGAGACAGCTATCACCAATCCCCCCCATACAACAGGATATTGGTTATTGACTTCTCAATTATTATTTGATTATGTTGAAATACTTTACCCAATATTTAGTGCTTAGAGTTTTAGAATAAAAGGATGTTGAATCTTAATAAAATTTATTATTTATTTTATGCATTTATTTAGGTGATCATATGGTTTGGTCCTTTGGTAGGGTTTTCATGTTATTGGTTAATATGTCTTGAACCATCCTTGCATTCATGGGATGAATTTCACTTGATCATGGTTAACTAATCTTATTAATGTGCTCTTGCATTTTGTTTGCTAGTTTTTTATTGAGGACTTCCTCATTTGTGCTCAAATAATTTTAAAGGAAAATTTTATAAATCAGAGGTTCAATCGAAGATTACTACATAAAAATTATCAAAATCACTAGACGCTAGAAAGGAAGTTAAAACAATGGCATGCAAATAAATACCTACTAAATGTCATAGTTTTAATGTGTTGGCAATATTAAGTGTCCACTTGAATTTTCATATAATGTTGATGAGAATGTAAAGTAGTTAGTACTAGTACTTTAGAAAACAATTTGACTGTTGCAGGATATTTGTTCACACTGACACTTCAAGATTGCTAATAAAGTTTACCTTGAATCAGGGGGCAGAGTCAGTGATTGACTGACTGGAATTAGCCATAACAATTTTGGAGGACCCAAATAGGGGGGCATAGGAAGATATGCGGAGGGGCTTAAAGAGACTCACAGACCTTTCAATCTGGGAAGTGTGAAGAGTTAGGGTCAGCTGATCACTCCTCCGCCGCTCTTTGAATCTATCAGGTTTTTTTTACCCCAATATCTGACTCCCGAGTTTTTATTGATATTGGAATAACTTAGATAAATGCTTCACTTGGCAGTTATCCATGAAGTTAAATAGCATACATTATAATCCCTAGCTAACACCCAAGATAAATGAAAACTTGTGTTCACACAGACTCATGTGTCAATGTTAATAGCAGCTTATTTGTGATAATAGAAACTAGAAACAGTCCTAATACCCATTACCATCAACAATTTTGGTAAAGTCACGTAAACAGTTCTGTCCCTCAATAAACAGGAAAGTAAAACAACCCTGTGGTACTTGCAATAAAGTTAGTGAACCTCAGAAACATTGTGCTAAGTGCAAAGACCCAGACCAGAGACTGTTAATTATTTATATATGTCTAAATTTATGTAAAATTCTAAGGAAAAAGAATTTTGACTGTGTATGGGCACAGGATGGATGAAGGGTGTGGGGAAACTCCAAAATACAACTGGGGAGCTCCTGGGGTGACCAAACTGTGACAATATCATGATTGTAGTGACAGATACACAAATATAAGCACTTGTCAATGTAGACTTTATATATATATGTGTGAATTTTATTTTCTATGATGTTTAGAATTTTTATTTTTAATTGGCATACAATAGCTCCTCATATTTCTATGATATTTCAGTACATGTATACAATACATAATTATTAGATCAAGGTGATCTGCATATTTTTCACATAAAACATTAAGCATTGATTTGTGTCTATACTGAAATAGTTACTGAATTGCTGTTAACCATAGTCCTGTGCTATATAGAACAAATAGGTTACTCCTTCCATCCAGCTCTACCCCTCTACCCACTAAGAGCTCTCTCCACCCTTTCCCCCACACTCTTTCCAATCTCTCAACAACTGCTTTTCTACTATCTGTTTCCTGTGAGAATATTTTGTGTAACTGTCACTTCAAAAATATAACTCATATAGCTTGATTATAAGGACTATTTAACAAGAAGACCTAATATCAGTCCCAAAATATGTTTGACATTTAATACAGAAGAAATAAGTAAACGAATGAATGAATGAATGGCAAAGCACTCATAACAGAATGCTTCATAAACAGCGTGTTTGCCTTAAGTTCTGAAATTACATCTATAATAGCATTATTGAGGTCTTTGGAGACTCACTGCAGGGCCCTGCTTTCTGGCCAGCTGGTTTTATACAGTTCTTTATAAGACATTTTACTTCCTAGAATTCTTTCTTAGCTTTGGCTTCTAGCCAGTAAAAAGAAAGAAAGAAAGAAAGAAAGAAAGAAAGAAAGAAAGAAAGAAAGAAAGAAAGAAAGAAAGAAAGAAAGAAAGAAAGAAAGAAAAAGAAAGAAAGAAAGAGAAGGAAGAAAGAAAGAAAGAGAAGGAAGAAAGAAAGAAAGAAAGAAAGAAAGAAAGAAAGAAAGAAAGAAAGAAAGAAAAAGAAAGAAAGAGAAGGAAGAAAGAAAGAAAGAGAAGAAAGAAGAAAGAAAGAAAGAAAGAAAGAAAGAAAGAAAGAAAGAAAGAAAGAAAGAAAGAAAGAAAGAAAGAAAGAAAGAAGTGCTTGCAAGATTTTTTTTTCCACAAATTTTGATATCCTAGTTACTACTCACAGTGCCTGCAACACCATTTCACTGATTGGTCAGATTCCAACTCAGACTATCCAAGAGCTTGTATCACTGTGTTTCTTTTGCAGTTTTAGATCCATATCTGGATGACCTGGGAATAAGGTTGGGTGCCACAGTGAACCACTTCATATATAATTCAATTTTTAATAACCCCAAATTGAGTCTTTTGTCTATTGTCTCCTCAAAAAACTAATTTTGGTTGTCAACAGAGCCTGAGCCAGCAACATAGATTCAGAAGTCAGCCTTTATTTTGTTTTTCACTTCTAAAAACTACTTAACCCTCTTTTCTTCATAAGAGCACTATATAGGTTGCACACATATACATCAATCAGAATTTCCAGGGCCAGTGAAATAATGGCTCCATGAGTAAATGGTCCCAATGACCTGAGTTCATCCATCGAACCCATGGTGGAAGGAGAGAGTTGACTCTTGGGTATTGTCCTCTGACCTCTACAGGCATACTGTGGCACATGTTCAATGGCACACATGCACACGCTATACACACACATAGCTTACACACATACATACATACACACACATAATATTTTAAAAAGAAAGAAAAAAATTGTAATGAGTTTAATTTAGTTCTATCACATTTTGCATCGTGAGGTTGAGGAACATCACGTGTGACGTTTGGCTTCTTTTGGCCATTTACACCCAGAAAGTATTAATAAAGAGCTAAGCAGCTGAGAAGACCAACCTTACTTACTTCCCTCACATCCACATCCAGGCTGACAACCTCCCCAGAAGCTGTGACTGACTTCAACTCAACTCAGTCTTACAAGAAGAATAAGGTATGTTTCCTGTAGTCACACTCGGTGTGTCACCCATAACCAAGCAGAGGTAGATATTAAGTGGTTACAGAAATTGAAATATTTGCTACTAGAAAATATCCTTCCTTGTTTAAATAAAAAGAATAGGAAACCTGACACATAGGTAAAGGGCCCTCTCCACAAACCCATATATGGTTGTCACAAAACCCATGCTCGAGGTGTCTTATGTTGTAGAAAGATGGTATCAGCCACACATAAAAGCTGACACTCCCTCGCAGGAATCGTTCAATCATCCATGTTAAAACTGCAAGATTTACACAGAGAATGATGGGACCTGACCTCCAAAGTAGATAAGCCTAAATTTAGCAACAAGCCATACATTTTATATCTGACTGAATTTCAGCAGAAATTTGAATATTTTGAGTTGTTCAGTAGACATCCAATTAAAATCTTAGTTGAAATAAATATAAGGTACACTACAAAAATCTCATCCCTCTGTGTCTGCTAGGTGGTTACAATTTGCATACTGTTCTCCCAGGTCATAGGTGATACATGGTCTCCTCACATAGAACCTTCCTTGTGTCCTATGCATTCATGTATACTACCCAAAGAAACTAGATGGGCACCCACTGTAAATCTGGATGCCCAGAAACCTAGGGAGAAACAGATGTTTTTCTTTCAAATATTTTTAAAGGGCATATGACAGTTTGATCTACTGACTGATATTAAAATAGAGGAAAACTGAACAGCCAAGTACAGGACAGAGCTTGAAAAAAATCAAAACAAAACACCTCTACTAGGAAGAACCAAGTCACACTGTAAACAAAGAATTCTTGGTTTCCTGTGTGGACAGTATTGATGCCAGCCTGAATATTTGCCAAAATGGCATTTCGAAGGACTATTTTCAGTGATTATGAATAAGATGAATTGATACAGTGCAAATTCAAGTCTTACCAGTTTCCACATTCCAGGAACTGTTACTACGCATTGACACCTACAATTCCATTTCAGTGATCAGCCAGTCTCTGAGAACGCGCAGCATTGTGTTTCTTCTGCAATTTAGATTCCTGTCTGGATGACCTGGGAATAAAGTGGGGTGCCATGGTGAACCACTTCATATAGTTGTTCAAATTCTAAGGTCTTTAATAAAAAAAAAACCCAGGGCCAGATATTGGAGTAAAAGCTGAAAGATCAATGAAGCAGAGCAAGCCACAGCCACCACCTCTTACCTCACCAACTCCTCAGCCTGAAAGAGCTACAGCTGAGAGGACTTCAGCCGAAAAAGTCTTTAGCTGAAAGGGACAATTCTGCCAAAAAGTCTTTCGTTCCTGTTTCTCACCCCTTATATACCTTTCTCCTCCCAGCTGTCACTTCCTGGGATTAAAGGCATGTGTGCCTCCTAGTGCTGCGATTAAAGGCGTGTGCCACCACTGCCTGGCTCTGTTTTCTCTCCTAGACCAAATCAATCTCATGTAGTCCAGGGTGGCTTTGAACTCACAGAGATCCAGACAGATCTCTGCCTCCCGAGTGCTAGGATTAAAGGTGTGTGCCACCACTGCCTGGCCTCTGTGTTTAATATAGCGGCTTGTTCTGTCCTCTGATCTTCAGGCAAAGTTTATTAGGGTACACAATATATCACCACAATATATAATTCAATTTTAATAACCCCAAATTGAAGCTTTTGGCTATTGTCTCCTCAAAAACCTAATTTTGGTTGTCAGCGAAGCTTGAACCATAGACTCATAAATCAGCCTTTATTTTGGTTTTCAGTAACAGATTCATTTGCATCTTACATTTTCAGCTAATTGCTAATGCTTTCTCAGATAGTTTTTTTTTTTAAACTCCATTGCAAAATAAATTCTTCTTATGTCCTGAAAAGAGGTACTGGTGAAGAATTTTCAAGGCCAGGGGTTTGATCCTCATCACTGCAAACATGTAAACAAAAAGTCCCACAGTTATTTCATAAGGACTCTCCCTTAATGCAGTGGTGCTTAATAAACGAACGAGAAAGAGAAGACTATGCTTTTGAGGGTAAAAAGATAAAACCTTTTGCATCGCATTCCATACTGGGAGAAGATACATTAAGATGAAAGCACCACTGGTTTCAAAAGGACTGATTGTGTTCACATAGCAGTTCAATAACCATTTCCAATGTAGACACTTTACTTGACTTTGGACTTTGTATGTGCGAATGAAGTGCTCTACCAATGATCTGCATCCCCAGCCATTTTTAAAAAGTTATTTTTATTTGATATAAGTTCTCTCTAGTTTCCCATGATGACTTACATTTGCAGTCTTCTTGCTGCAGTATCCCAAGTAACTTGATTGTTTTTTAAATTATTTTTGTGTGTGATGTACTCATGTGTGTGCATGTGTGCTGTGGGTATCTGTACCAATCCATGCATGCATGTGGAAGCTAGTGTCTCGTTCACCTCATTCCCTTGACAGAGAGTCTCCCAGTGAAGCCAGAGCTAACTGTTTTTAGGCTAGACTGCCTGGCTAGCAAGCCTCTGGGGACGACCTCCCTTTACAACACACCTTCCCATGCCTCTCTCACTTTCCCCATCCTCAACTTCCCTTCCCCCATTCCTCTGTGCCTTCGCCCTTCCCACGCTCTGGCACACTGGGGTTACAGGCATTTATGACCACGCCAGTCTTTCATGTGGGTGCTAGAGATCCAAAGTCAGCTCCTCGTGTTTGCACAGCAGACATTTTTACGCATTTAGCCATCTTCCCAGCCCCTTGGTCATTTTTTGTGTAAAACTACCAATAGGTCCATTGACTATTTTACTACAACAATCTCATCACTAAACTGTGGAGCCCTGCGGTTCTCTTCAACTTGTCATTCAATTTATTCCAGTAATTTCTTCCATCAAATAATTAGCTCAAGTATAAAACCATACTGCAAAAGAAATCATAAAATTCCATTTAAATATTTTGCACATAAAGTCTCTCACTACCCTTTATACAACTTCTTTTTTTTTTTTTTTAAGAAAAAGAACTGAAAGCTGAAAAAAAAATCAAGGAATTTTTCATGAATGAAATAATTTAGGGGTTATGGAAAATCCAGTGGCCTGATCGTATAGAATTTATTCATCTATCCTACATCTCAGGAAAGAGCAATGTTACTGTTTAGAGCTACTGGTTGAGAAGAACACGAACAGATGGAAACTGCTTAAATCAACAAGCTGCAGACCACTGCCTCCACCACGTCGCTCTTGCTCTGCACCTCCCACCAAGCAAACCAGACCCATAGCTGTTTTCACCGATGTGTGAGTCTGCTACACGGAGGTATGAAAAGGAAATGATACTATTTATAGATTAGTCTCTGGGTGTCTTTATATCCCAAAGAATTATTTCCTAGGGTGAATTTTATAATTTTCAACTCTGTTCTCATATAAAAAAAAATTATACTAATCTCTATTCCTAAACTACTCTGCTGTTTGCTTCAATCCAACAACCAGTTCAGTTTTGAATGTCCCCATTTCAGTTGACTACATGCGATTAACACTGAAAATAATTAGAGTGGCATTCGTGTGGGTGAATATGAATGTGTGACACACTCAAATGTAACTATTGGAAAACAGTGACATTGACATGGGAAAGATACATATAAGGGGAAGCAAGGCAAGCTGCTTGTGGCCTCCTCTAAAAGGAACTTTTACTTTTTATTATTTTCATTACTTTTAATTTGTGTGTGTGTTCATGCATGTGCACATCCCGTGCATGGTAGATGGACAGGTTCACATGCCATGGCACCTATATGGAGGCCAGAGGACAACTATCAGGAATTGCTTTCCTTCCACCAAAGATCCCAGGGACTGAATTTTGGTCATCAGGCTTACACAGCACGTGTTCTTTTGCCTGCCAAGCCCATCCTATGAGTCCCTTTTAGCTCATTTTGTCATGATGACACTGATAAGGTCATTCTGTGGGCTAGACAGAGTTGGAAGTGTCAACCAAGCGGGGGGGGGGGGGGGGGGGGGGGGTACTCCTGTCAGAAGTGTTTGGATACACTGAGTATCTGACCATTGGGTAGCATAAGACTATAGGGACCTGCCTCTTATGGGACCATTAAGTCACTGATTTCAAGTTTCTGGGAGAAGTGCAAGAGCAACTGGACGATGAGTAAAGGCATTGGTTTGGAGCCAGTTAAACCTGAATTTGAAGCATCAATACTCTTTACCTGCTTCACTTCAATAAATAACATCAAACCCTACAATAAGCTCCCTGGCCCCAGTTTCCTCAACTGTGGTTGGCAAATGATGACCTTGTAGGCCAAAGTTTCTCTCCCGACTGCTTGTTCCCAAATACTGAGCAGCCACTTCCCAAATAATTGACTCAGAGGCTTAATACTGCTTATAAATGCTCAACCGGTAGCTCAAGCTTATTACTAACTAGCTCTTACACTTAAATTAACCCATAATTCTTATCTATGCTTAGCCACGTGGCTTGGTACCTTTTCTCAGTGTGGCATTCTCATCTTGCTTCCTCTGCTTCTGGCTGGTGACTCCTGACTCTGCCCTTCCTCTTCCCAGAATTCTCCTAGTCTGGTCACCCTGACTATACTTCTTGCCTGGCTACTGGCAAATCAGCATCTTATTAAACCAGTTTGAGTGACAAATCTTTACAGTGTATAAGAGCATTATCCCACAGCATGACCCCTCATTTAAGAGATTGTTGTTAAAACTAAAGGTGACATACAAAGTCATTCACCATAGTACCAAGTCTACAGATGGTTCCCAACTAGAGATAACATGTACTGTTTCCTGTATTTAGTTATGGAAGAACTGGAGCCCTACACATATTTTCTAATCAATGAGCTTAGGATCTAATAAAACACAAATGACAAGGTAAGGGTTGACTATAGAAGCTATGGTGCAGAACTGGACACTGGGACAAGTTCCAGCAAAATATGAAGAACCTGGATATATGGACTAAATGGAGATCCTGGAGAGAATTGAGTTCTGGAAGCTGGACCCAGCAGCAGAAGGTAGGGAGCAGAGCAGCATGGTCCATACAAGCCAGAAACAACGAACAGGTTAATGGGAGAATCAGAGACTTTAAAAAAAAAAAAAAAAAAAAGGACCAGAACACTTCAAAAACAAAATTGATGACTCAATATTTCCTTGCATTTTTGCATATCCAGTTAAGTGAAGGAAAGATATGTGCTGTGGGATGGTCTGTATGTCAAATTACTCTGATTGGTCAATAAATAAATCACTGACTGGCCAGTGGCCAGGCAGGAAGTATAGGCGGGACAAGGAGGAGAATAAAACTGGGAAGTGGAAGACTGAGTCAGAGAGACACTGCCAGCTGCCACGATGACAAACAGCATGTGAAGACTCCGGTAAGCCACGAGCCACTTGGCAAGGTATAGATTTATAGAAATGGATTAATTTAAGCAGTAAGAACAGTTAGCAAGAAGTCTGCCACGGCCATACAGTTTGTAACCAATATAAGTCTCTGTGTTTACTTGGTTGGGTCTGAGTGGCTGTGGGACTGGCAGGTGAGAGAGATTTGTCCTGTGGGCCAGGCAGGAAAACTCTAGCTACAAATAAGCAAATAAGCCAGAAAGACCAGAACTTTATTACAATAACTTCTATTTGGGGCTACAAGAAGTCAATATGTTTATGCAATCAACAGATACCTATTCAAATACCTACAAGCAGGCTAGGAAGCCCCAGCAGCATACAAAAGACAAGAAACAGTTGCCAGTGAGAAAGTGATACTCATCCATCAATGACTTTCTAGGAATATAAATAAGCTTGAAGTGGATTCTTCCCAAATCAAGCTTCCAGTGAAAGCAGCACCTAGACAACTCCCTAATTTCATCTTCAATTTTAGCAACAATTAGAGCTCAGATGTGTTTGTGTGACGGAGGAAGGATGCATTTCCTAGGCAAGTCCTTTGCAGCCCAAGAGGTCAGACTTCTGGTGTAGAAACATTGTAATAGTAAGTGTTGTTCTCAAGTCCTGAGGTCTTGATGTTTTGTTACACAGCAATAGGAAATGAATATAGGAGCTCAGCATGTGAGATTATATTTACAGGAAAACAGAATAAAGATACACAAAGCCCAG